AATTTTAGAATTGTATTTAGATATTGTGTGAGTACATGTATATTTAATTCAGGTATCAAAGTTCATAAAATTAAATAGAAGTAAAAAAATCTTTTTCTTGTTGAATTCTAACATAAATATATTTAGTTAGTTAATATATTCTAATATTATTTATTTATTTAAATTAATATTATTATTTAATATTAATATTATTTTCATAGATGGATATATAGAAGGATCATATGATTAAAATCAAATTATTTTTTTTTAAATATTATAACTTTATATTTTTTTATATTAAAAGTAAAAAATCTAATACATTATTTTCTATAAAAAAAAGTATTAAATCATTTATACCAAAAGATCATTAGTTTAAGAAATATTTAATTATATGCAAATATCTCCAAAATTAATAATTTTTTTATGGTTTTTTATAAGGAATGCCTAAATGAATCCATTTATGAATTAAAATGTATATGATTTTATTTAAAAAAATAAAGTTAAGCTCGATTAGTCTTTTACACGTCTAATTATGAATAAATTAATAATTTCAGAATATAGCCTTCTTGAAATCATTCAACTTCTATTTGAACTATTTTTTAATATTTAATAATTATGAAAAATAAACGAAACAGATAAAAAATTATGTGAGATATATTCCTGACATATTTCACTATATATTTCAGAATTCTCTAAAATTAGAAGAAAAAAAAAAAAANAGAAAAACAAAGAGGAAAAGAAGGAAACGAAATAGTACATAAATTAAATTANNNTAATTTGAGAATTGTTTAAATGGAAATATATGATAGTATGAAGAGGAATAATAAAAAAGGTATTATATACGTGCCTTATACTTTTATATAATAAATTAGTTTTATAAATACATATTCTAATATTTTTTTCAGTATATTCAAAATATATGTCTTAAAAGATTGAGTTTCTAAAAAATAAATATAGAATAGGTATGTCAAATTCTATAATTAGTAATTAAGTAATGTTTGAAAAATGTCATTCTAAACATGGGATGTTTAAAAAGATAAGTATAAAAGGTAAGTATAGAAGGTAAGTATATTAAATTCCAAAAAAATTTTGTATAAAATCGATATTTTATTAAAGGACAATTCTTAAATTTCTAAAATAAAAATCAAAATTCTTGAACGAAAAAAATTTGTCAATTTTATATTAGGAGAACATAAATTGATAGGAAGTCTCTCGAGAAATTTTTCCAGGAATTTTGGTTCTTGGAAGTGACGTCAAATTCTTGGAATTTTTAAAATTCTTGGAAATGACGTCAAATTCTGAGAATTTGAAATTTCTTGGAACTGATGTCAAATTCTTGGAAATTTCCAAGTTCTCGAATAATAGATTGAAACTTTTAGCCACAAAATCGATCTTTTATTAGGAGAACATAATTTAAAAGGAGTTTTCTCACATTTATCACATATCTATCGTTCTCCTACTTAATTCTTTACCATTTTTTCTACCATTGCCGTTTCCTTAGAGTTTTGAAACGTTTTTTTTTACAATTTACATAATTTTAAATATTTTCTGCTCCCATACTTATCTTCTATCACAAATGCTGCCACTTTCAGTTCGTTTTTTTATCATTTTTTTAATCTTTAAAGAATTCAAACATTATATTCGTATTATTTGCAATATCTCGATTGTTTTTAATAAGCCATTACATAATATATTATTTTGGGTGTCAAAATAGCATTATTCGATCCGTAAAAAAATTCTCGTATCTCCTTTGTTTTTGGAGATATTAAAAAATGTTTCGAATAAAAGTTACATGATTTCGATGGAGGAACATTCTGCTGTAATTTATTTTTTTATACATAGAAGCGTTGAGGATTTGTAAAAGTAAATGTTGTTTCTTTAAATGGAACTATACATTTTTTAACACGTGAATTGATATCTCTTGGCATTCTCTATAAAAAAGTACTAAACTTTATATAGCAAAAAATTTATAGTTTAAAAAATAAACAAATTTAATTAAATATCTTTCAAACTAATGGTTTTTTGCCATATATGGATTAGTACTTTTTTATAGAAAATGCCACGATACATCGACTGGTGTTTTGAAAAGTATACAATCGTATTTAAAAAAATTAAGTTGAGCTCGAAAAGTTTTTTATTGGTCCACCTACGAAAAAAACGAGAGCACCAGAATATAGTCCTTTTGAAACCATTCAACTTTTATTCGAAACATTTTTCCGTATTGTGAATAATAAACGAGATATTTAACAAAAAGGATAAATATCGAAATTCCTCGATCGATGAAAAATTTTTGTCCAAAAATTCGATTTTGTATTAGGAGAACATGATACGATAGGAGGTCGATCGAAAAATTTTTCCAAGAAATGACGTCAAATTCTCGGAATTTTTAAAATTCTTAGAAATGACGTCAAATTCTGAAAATTTCTAAATTTCTTGGAACTGACGTCAAATTCTCGGAAATTTCCAAGTTCTCGAACAATAGATCGAAATTTTTCGCCACAAAATTGATTTTTTCTTAGAAGAACATAATTTAAAAGGAGTTTTCTCACATTTATCATATAGTTACCGTTCTCATATTTATTTTATCATTTCTTTTAATGTTACTATTTTAGAGCTTTAAAACATTTTTTTTCACAATTTATATGTAAATTTAGATATTTATTTCATTATTTCTTCTGTTCTGCAATTCTTAATGCATTTTTTATCATTTTTTTAAATTTTTTAAGAATTTAGGAATACATTGAGCATTATTTATTTTCATTATTTGAAATGTCTCGATTGTTTTTAATGACTGATTGCATAATATAATATTATCAAATGTTTGAATAATATAATCTGACATGTCACGCTTATTTTTAAAAATATTAAAAAATGTTTCAAATGAAAGTTAAATGGTTTCGAGGGGCGTATATTCTTTTGCTATTTATTTTTTTATATATAGAAGCGTAAAAGATTTATAAAAGTGAATGTTGTTTTTTTAAATAAAAGTATATACTTTTTAATACTCCTATTGATATATCTTGGCATTCTCTATAAAAAAGTACTAAGGCATATGTAGCAAAAAACTTATAATTTAGAAAATAAACAAATTTAATTAAATATCTTTCAAACTAATGGTTTTTTGCCATATATAGATCAGTACTTTTTTATAAAAAATGTCACGATACATCGATTGGTGTTTTAAAAAGTATACAATTGTATTTAAAAAAATTAAGTTGAGCTCGAAAAGTTTTTTATTGGTCCACCTACGAAAAAAACGA